CATTTGTGTCGACACAAATAGATCTATATTTGTGTCAAAGACAAAGATTAGGCCTAAATATGTCGTCTGACCTGGCAACACCTGGGTGCTGTCACTGCGGAGAGGGATTCTGAATCTCCCCTGGACCAGTTTCCTTCTTGACCCAATCCTGGATAAACTAAAAACTATGGATGGAGGGACAATAATTAATTGAAAAAATAATAATAATGAAGCTGCAATAAATAAAAATAGATTTTGGTTTGGTTTAGGGGTTCCAAATCTTTCCAGCCATCCTTTCTGGACATCTGTTTTTGTGGTGTCTTAGCAACTGCTCTTCTGGCATCTGGATAATCCTGACCTGCTCTGCAGAGACCCCACTGGGCTGAACAGAGAGAGATCTCAGGCAGAGGCAGCTTTATGAAGAGATGTTAAAGAGAGGTCCTGATCTTTCATTGGCCAAAGAAGCTTTGCTGTATATCACATGTTGTGCACAGTTACTTCTTATTCAAGCCATGTTGAACTTACCTTACCTAGAAACATAAAAAGAAAAGGTCGCTTCGAAGCCTCAAACTGGGTAGTAAGTTGGGAGTTTTTGTATCAGCAATGTATTTTTCTTCTTATAGATTTAAGTGTTTTTTTGGTTGCCATAGAAAAGTGACCTCTCTACATTCTACTTGTTAATATTAAACCAAGAACACATTTTCCAGAACCTTCCTGCACTGCTAACACGAAGTAGTAGAGCATCCCACCCAAGAAATACTCTCCATAATGAGCTCAGATTGCAGATGCAGATATAGACCTTTTCAGCACACACCCACAAACAGACTTTGGTTGCCTCTGATTTGTGGAATTGATAGGGGGTCCATTGTTATCACAAAGCTTGCCACTATGTGCCTCTAATGTAATTAAGGCGAGGAGATTTATGCTGCTGTATGGCAGCCCAGAACCTGATCCATGTTGCGTCTGGAGTCAGGTTGAAAAGCTCTCTTTCTCTCCAGCTGGTCCTGATTTCTGCTCTGGACTGTGTCACTCTCAGCTACAGTCCTGTTCAATCTTTAATTGGAAATGCTGGTCTGTTGTAACGCTTCTCTCTTGTGTACATGTGAAGGAAAAGCAGGGCTAGAGTTTGCCTGCTTCGATATTTGTGGTAAATTATTCTTGTTAGAGCCCAACTTCTGTTATTTAGTGTTCAGGGAAACATACTTAAGAGAGTCGCAGTAGTTTAGCTATGTGGTAATTATTAACAGCATCAGTTATTTAGAAAGGTCTGCATTTTTAGCCTCCCACATAGAGTTTACTCTGCTCCTTCTCCCAGTACACCTTTAAACCGGAGGTAGAGTGAGTTAAAGGATCTTGCTAGGAGGGGTAAAACGGAAAACTTAAAAAGTAGAACTTGTTGGACATGTCGTCTTCCGAAAGAAGAGGAGCTCTGGAGTTAGTTTCTGAAAACAGAAGATCCAGAAATCAAGATTTCAAGCATCCGAGGACGCAGTTGTCTTTACCCCGGCGTCCTGTCAGGACGAGCACCTGGCGACCTGTCTGCCGTGACTTTGGACACTACAGGCAGCAGAGGGTAAGTTTATCTATGCCCACCCAGGTCTCCCTAAATCCACAGTTGAGTCCTGCTGCCGCCGCCCACAACCGCAGTAACCTGAATAAAAGACACGTCAAACGCAGCTGAATGAGCCCCATGTCGAGAACATGAGAGAGAAGGTCCGTAAGGCTGGGAGCATCTGTCCACCTCTCTGACGCTAATGAATGTTAAGTATGTTAGGAGCTGGTGTGCCAGTGTCTCACAGGTCATTGTGGCAGCAGAGCTGTGCTTTTGTCAGGGTGCGCCAGCCCCCTGTGAGACATCTTAAATGGCTGGACCGCTTTCTCCTTCACACAATCCCACCACCAATAGTCACCATATTGATCCTCTTGCTTGCAGATTAAAGCATAAAAGGCGCTCTGTCCTATCAGCAGGGTTTCCCCACTGACTCCCTGAGCTCATTTCAGGGTCACAGAGTCCTTGCAGCCCCCTGACCTGGACTCCGACGTGTACACACAGAACCGCTGGTGTGAGGAAGGGCAGAAAACTTTCCAGGGATGAACCCCATTAAACAGGATTGGTAGGATGCTCACATTCATGGCTCATTATAGCTGACCCCAGGCTTTTTTTCTCTCTCAATTTTGTCCTTTTCTCCTCTGTCCCTGGCTATAACCTGGCCTAAGCCATGCTGAGGTGTTCTCCCGGGCCTTTTGTCTGCATTGATAACTCAGCAGTTCCATCAACTGATTCTAAAAGGGATCATCCCAAATGTTCTGTTGTGCTGCTTTGTTCCTGGCATGTGCTTTGTTTTGACCATCCTGTGGAGAGTGTGTCTTCCCTTTGGGACAGATTTCTGTATTTTGACCTCATGCAGTTCAAGGTATTCTGCTCATACTTTCTGTTAGTTGAGGCAACTGTGTGAAAACTTAAAACATTGTCAGAAAAATGTAGCATAAATAAGTTCTGAAAAATCAATCCTTACTAACAATATTGCACATTTCACAAGGTATTTATGCCTTTTTTTAAATTTGGGGCTTCTATGATATGAGAAGTTTTATTCAGTGGATAAATGCACAAATTAAAATGGTACTTTTCTGTATCCGCCAAGTTCGAAATGATAAATCACTAATAAGCTGTTTTATGAACTGAACTGACACAATTAGTTTTTGTTTTTTGGGGTTTCTGTTTTTTTATTTTTCCCTGGAACTGGTCTTAGAGGAAGATTATTCAGAAGCGTCTTGATGCTACAAAAAAAAAAAAAAAAAAAAATGGATAAAGAGACAACTTGCTTATAGATCTTCATATTCATGTAAAGGTGGCTACATATTTGAATCTGTATATCTAAGAGCCTGTGTGGGTAAAAAAACAAACAGAAAGAAAACAGAAAATAACTATTGTTCTTGATTTTTCTTTAATTTAATTCAATCAATCAATCTTTTTTGTCAGCTACAATTTTCATTGCAATCGAGATTTCAGTTACAGTACACGCCATTCTTCACAACACTTCGCATACATTGGGATGGGGTGGCGGTGGCTGAGAGGTGGAATGAATTTACTGAGGCGGTTACCTATAGCGCTGCCTTTATCTCTGTGGAAAGATAGGAGCCACATTGGGTAAGAAAGGGGAAAAAAGCAGATTTTACACTTTATCCTTAAAGGAATAGTACACCCAAAACATGATTAGCCTTCATTTTCTACTCACCCCATGCTGAACAACACTCTGGAGTACTTTTTTGATATCTCAAATGCATCTGGAGATCTGGGAGGCTTCTTGCTGTCTGCTGACATTCA